TCACTCCATCTCTGTCTAAAATGACCAGGAGACAGTAGTAATGACCTACTTTGTATGGCACAAAGTGGATTTGCCCAGGCTGTGGCAGAGTACTGTCAAGGCTCTTGTCACCATTCACTTAGATGTAATCTATAATGGGCAAAGCTCTCATTTCCTCCGGAAAGGCTGCAGGAGTTTCACAAGGCGTATCCATTTGGCTCCCTTTGAGCCCTGGTTCTTCATTTAATATTGAAAGTTTTCATGTAAATGTTACATGCACCAGGTGGTGACTGAGATTATTAAGCTACATCTGAAGACATGGAGCTCATGCAATAACATGTATGAATCAGAGTAAGTAAAACTGGTGTAAGATCTAAAACTGAATTTTAGCAGAGATTTTCTTAGGGCAATTTATAAGCTGAGAGAGCTGTATTCATGGAGAAAATATTGCCAATATTAGGACTACAATAATCAACCAAGTATGACTTTATTCCTGTCATCATCTAGGTCATTCATAAGGTAATCTTATCTCAGGCATTTAGGCAGAGGCTGGTACAGTGGTTTATTTCAGTAAGAAAATATCCAAATCCAGTTCCTTTACTTCATTGGGTTTCTCCAGTTCAGTTGTGTTGTTGTGGTTTTTTTCTTCTTGTTTATCTCTGAGTTTTGTTTATGCTGTGGCACCTTTAAGTACTTGGGACTTTCTTTTGATGCTTAAGAACAGAGTTCCAGTTTGGAGTTTGTTTATTATTCAGATCACGATGTGCTGATGGTCAGTGCTTGTTGCAGTCCAAGTTGAGAGGAAGAGCCATGAGCTTTCTCTCACTTGGAAATTTGCCCAAGGCAGCAATCATTCCTCAGTTCATGCTACCAGAATTGTTTTGTCTGTACAGGTTTGCCAAACACGTGGTCAAGATAAAATTACTTATTTTTCCTTGAGGCTTTCCTGGTGGTAGTGAAGCTTGATTGTTACAACAAAAGCCATGATCAGAGTCTTTCCTTTTTTTTAATGTCCCTTTGGCATTAGTTTCTTTTTCTGCTCTGTGGAATTTGACAGCTTGTCTAGTTGTTTTCCCTTCCATGGTCTCCTACAACAACCAAATACAAACTACAGTAACCAGTTAATGTTTCAGTTCCTGGGACTGTAAGGGAATGTGTAAGCAAGAAAAATAGTATCACTGTATGGATTACAGGATTTTTTTCAGTGGTGCTGCCATGTATGGCAATATATTTAGGGAGTCTATACATTTAGCACAAGCTTGCTATTGATACTACATTTGGGAAAAAACCAAACAAACCAACAAGTGGATTTAATTGTCAATTTTTTTATTATAAATTTTTTGTCCTTCTGTTTTTCCATATAACTGTAACCTAGTATCTCTGGATAGTGGTTAGAAAGCCTACTGCAGTGTGCGTCATATGGATGTAACTTGGAGCAATTGAAATAATGACCCTCAGTACTTAAAATTAAGTAAGCTGTTTCTTTTAAGCAGAGTTGAAATCTGCTGAGAAACAATGTTTGAGGTTGCTGTCCAAACACATGAGGAATTAAATACTTTAAATGGTATGTTTACAAAAACACCTTTCAATTACAGATATTTCTGAATTCCATTACAGATACCCCTGATACTTCTACACCTCAGTAGTGCCACGAACCTTTACCGCTGTTGGTGTTTGTACTCAGGTAGTGTGTAAAGGTGCCACCTAAAGTGAGGGCTCATTGTATAAGGTGCTGCATGTAAGACTTCTGGCACAGGATAATTATGTCTTCTTCTCAAAAACGTGTTTTTGACTTAAAAAGATAAAAGGAGAAGGATTCTGCTGCTATAGTGGAGTTGTACAAAAGGACAGATGGGTAATCATGTCACAAGAAGGAATGGCTACAAACTGTGAATTTACATAGTTTTGAAATGAGTTATCTAAATAATTTTGTTATTTTAGAATGAACCCTCATCAGTTTTAAAAAGGGGTTATGTAATGTGGTTGGTCAAAAGACTAGAAGGACTAGAGAGGCAAGGAGTTTTGTTCCAGCTCTATGATCTCTACCCTTTGGAGAACTGGAAATGACTGTCACCTACTTGTCACTCAGATTTCCATGTACCACTGTGAAACTGTAATATGAAAAAGGGACATCTGAAGCAGAAGCCATAGATGTTTGAGAAGTCTGAAAGACAGGAAGAAACACTACAAAATTCACTTACAGAGTACGCGCTGCAGTGTTTAAATAGTGGGTGCTGATTCTTTGCTACAGGGAGGGTTCAGGTTTATTCACAGTGCCAAATGGTTCCTCTGGAGACATCTAGTTCTGTAGTAGTTCTGCAAATTGCAGCATCATTGTGTTAACTGAAAGCACAGCGACATTGGTATTGTGCTGGCTGAGGCTCCTTGGTTCACTGTGGGGTTGACTTTGGTCTTTGAAGATTTTGGAGAGTGAAGAGGGGTGAAAAATAATTTGTGGATGAAGTTGTATTTTTTCCACATAGTTTGCACAGGAGTTAGCTGTACATGATTCATAATTCTGTACAGGCATTTAGTTCAAGGGGTGGGATTGGGGTTTTTTTGGTGAATGTTGAGAGAATGCAACTTTTTTTTTGATATTTTTTTAAATTCTAATATATTCATCCTCAAAATTCCTCTATTATGAATATTTCTGAAGCTATTAGCTACTCAGACTGCCTTTCCTTTCTTTCAGGCTGCTTGTCTATAGGGTGCAATAACCCTGATAAGTCAACACAATCTCTTTTATTTACCAAACTGGGAAGTCTATAGAAAATTCCAGTCATGGTGAAGTTGTATAGCCTGCAATGCACAGTATTCTCATGCTTTACTGAGCTCATAGTGCTCACTATCCATTTTAAAGTGCTAATTTTACTGTCTGATATTAAGTGGGTTTTAAGAACTACCCTTGTCACAGGATGGTAGGGTGAGGAGGAAATCCATCTTAAAATAGTGGTATAATTTTCCCACATATCTGCAGAGCTGAAATAGACCATTTTCTTGCCTTGTTTCATAGCTTTTTTCCCCTTGAAATGGAAAAAAAAACCAAAAGCAAACTACAAAACCCACAAACAAACAAAAACAAACAAAAAACACGAGCTCTACTGCAGTCTCTGTGCATCAAGGACAAGATAAACTGTTTTCTTTTTTAATTTCCTGCTACTTCATGCTTCTGTCAGGACTTTTCCAGGAGAAAGGAGAGGTCAGTATCCAGTTGCTTGGGAAAAGAATACTTAGTTATAGATATTTTAAACAAACCCCAAAACAAACAGCTTAATTAGTCACACAAGGAAAACAAGATGCCGAGGTCATCCTCTCCTTCCCTCATATGGCGTCCAAGTGACCCTAAACATCTGATTATTTTTTTTCTCTTAGCTTGCCTCTATGTTTAACTCTGTAGTTTCTATTAACAGCGTCCAAAATGGACATTGTGTGAGGCAGGCAAACATACCTGCCCACAATGCTTGAGGACAGGTGTCCTGCCACAGGAGTTGGAGCTCAAGAGCCACTGTTCCTCCCGCAGAGGGGAAGTGGTTGTGTAACAAGGGAAAAATACGCAGGGTGGCTGGTCAGGGGGCCATAGGAAAATCTGTGACAAGGAGATCAGTCTTACAGCAAATTGCACTTAACCATCAGGATTGTTTCTAGGAATCCTTCTTTGTGGCTGCCAGAAACTACACTTTGTGTTCAGTTCTGCTTGAAAAGATTCATCTTTGACAATGAACATGGATTCATGAATTCTTTCTAGGTGTTGGGCAGGTTTGTGACTTCGAAACTTTTGAAGTTTTCAGCTTGTTCTTGAGTGCTGACCTGCCTTCAGCAGACAAATGACTGTGACCCTGAGTAGAATAATCATATTGGAAGCCATTTAATTATCTACTTCCTTCAGAAAATGCTTGAAGGTTGAATGCCTTTAAATATCAGTCTGGTTTTTGGACCTAGATGTTATTAATGTAGGGTAAAGAGAAGTCTCAGTGAAGGATTTGTTCTTGTACACTAACATGAAGTTTCACCCTGAAAGACCCTTTAGTTAGAAGAAAGACAGTAGAACAAGAGATGCTGCTTAAGGCTCTTTAAAAAAGCCAAGGCGAGTTTCAGTGTTTTCAAGTACTTGAATACCATGGCAACAGGAGCTTCAATGCTTGAGATAATTGTCAACAGAATTCAAATACTTTCCTAGGAGGAGTCCTCTGAGAGTTTTGAAGTGATTTGCAAATCTGAGGTGGTCATGGGTGCTTGTCAGAGAGAATTTCTTTCCCTGGACCTGACTCTCCCAGTTACTAGCCAACAACCAGAGCTCTTTTCAGTGTTCCATTCCATCTTACAGATTCCCACATCTGCATGGGGTACATAGCATTGCAGGGCATACTAAATTAAGTTGCCACATATGTGAAAACATTTGCTGGGCTACAGCAAAATCATGCATAACTCTAGATAAGAACTAAGATTTTTTTTTTAATTAAAATGTGAAGTTGTAGTCAAGCAGCAGAGGTCAAAGTGCAGCTAGCTGAGAGGGCATGTCTCTATACCCAGACCATGATAAGAGTCATTGGCAATTCATCCTAATTCCAGAGCCAGCTGCATACATGTTATTGATAATGAAACATGAAGCTTTTTGCTTGCTCTTGAGAGAGATCAGATATTGTAAGTACCAAGATGAGTAAGGACATGTTGACATCTTGAAGTGGGGATTAAATTACATCATAATCAAAATTTGGTAAACCTATGAGAATCTCCTCATGGCTGCTCTTGCTGAGGTTATGAGAGGCGTGGCTCCTTGAGTAAGGAGTAAAGCACTGGTTTTGGTGATGGGCTGCTTTAACATGAGGATATTTGAAGACCCTCAAATCCTTTAAATCAAAGAGTTGCTCAAGTGTAGCACTCCTCTAGACACACAGGTGGCAAATGTGGTAGTACTTTGACAGTACTGTGGTTTAGCATTCTGTGTTATAAAAAATGATGACACTAGTTTCTCCCATTTAATTTTCTAAAAGAGGTAATTTACTTCTTTTTTATCTTAACAGCACTTGAAAAGAAAGTGTAAAGGACGTGTTTCCCTCTATTGGCTCATCTTCACTGTACCTCTCCCATTCTGCTTCCTCTTCCTTATAATCCTCAAATGAAGATGAGGAGCCTGCTGCGAATATGACGTCTGTGACTAGTGTCATTGCCTCCCACCAGTCTGAGTGGGTGTCCTTCAGTGATGAGCTGCTCCTCCCTGTTAGCCCACAAGGTAAGCTGTCTGATTTTCTTTGAAACCAGTGAGACCTTCTTTGTTTGAATTAGACCCACTATTGTCATATATCTAGTAGCATAGAGATTTGCTTCTAAGTGGAAGCAGTATGTGCAGAGGTTGAATTATTTCCTGCTACCTCTATGTAATAGGAGAATTTGGGCCAAAAAGTAAATTGCTCTCCTAATGTGATCTAATGTAGATCTATTATAGGTTTTGGATCTGTCCTTCAAAATTCAAGGCAGTATCTAACTGACCATGGAGGAAATGTCACCTATTATAATCAAGTGCAAAACTATGTGCAGTATTAATCTAAAAATTGCATTAAGTAAAGGAGAACTTTCTACAGTTAATGGAAAATTTTTATATTTCAAAATAAAAACCAGTGAAGTAATGGTGAGTCCTTCCAATATTTCTGTGTCATTTCTATTTTAGGTAGCACTGAGGAGCCTCTGGAGAAATGTTTTAATTCCTCAGACACCTCCTCAGAAGAGAACCAAAATGCAGATGGAAAATTTAAAGACCTTTTCTTCACAGATTTGGAAGAGGCAGCTGACCAAACCAAGGGGGATTCTGCTGTGCTTGGTAACCATGTGTGTCCCAGCACTAATCTGTCATCATCCATCAGTGCTTGGGTTCAGTTTGACGATGCCCCATGGACTAGTGCTTCATCAACCCACCCACAAACAGGTGAGGCAAAAGCAAAGAAAAGGTCCATTCCAGTAATACAGTAAGAGCCTACAGGAATTTTTCCTTCCTCATGGTTTCTCAAAGGTTGACCTTTGACTAGTTTGTACTGTACTTTAACACAACTAATGTCATCAGTTTCAAAAAGGGTTCTCATACCATCGTTTGGGGTGGAACTAGCAATATTTTCTTTTTATAAAGAAAATGAAAGCTGTCTGTGATTCACTCCACCTATGTCTTGACTATGTTTTAGAAACTGCCAAAATGCATTAATGGGGACATAGCATAGAGGTGTTTTCAGTAGTGACATTTCTTATGTAGAGGTATGAACAGCCATCTAAAAGGGCTGATCTGTGTTTGCCTCTGTAATCTGGAACTGGAAAAAATGGAAAAATGGTGATCGTTGTCCTCTGTGGTCACAGTCTTTACCTGCTCATAGCTCTATATGGTTTTTGCCCATAGAGACCAACAGCTAATGTGCTAGTGCCCATCAGTACTTTCTGCTGTCTTTAGATGCTATGATTTAGCAGCTGGAGAATTACAAAGACAACAGAAGTTTACCCTAATTCCATCACTGCGTGCACTTTTCTTCAAATGTAACATTTTTTTCTGACATGCTTTAAACATGCATGCAAAGCCTCTGGTTTTCCTTGTCAGCTTATGCTTGTAGGAAGTTGTGGAGTAATTGCCAAATAAAACATTACTTTTTTTCATGTTTAAATTGAGATTATCTCATAATATTTCCACTTTGTGACTGCTAGTTATTAAAGTAGTTTAAAGAGTTGTAACTTTACTCTGCTCACTAAGTCCATCAAATACTCCCTGTGACATGAATACTTCTAGTAGAAAACTTGGATCATTGGTTTTGGGTAAACCTCATCTGTTTTTCCATCAGCTCTTTTGATGGGTGCTACAGTCTAGTCCATTAGACCTTTGTGCAGAAGTGTGTGAATCTTCTGGCAAAACTAAATTCCCCTGACCTTTTTATCTTTATATTTATTTAATGGTTCTTATTCTTAGATGTAAATATTTACTGATCCTGGTGGTGTGGAGAGAAGGAAAAGTACTTACACCAGGAGTGTAAATCTGTAAAACTGAGGTGCTCTACCTCTCTCTGTAGTTTCATGGTTAAGTGAGCCTTATGCTTACTCCTACAGGCACATACTTTTTTCAAATGAGGCTACTGCTTGCTCAGACACTGTATCTCCTTCCCAGTGTTGTTATGCCTTTGTTAACTGAAAAACTTGTAAGTGCACCTTCTTCTTAAATGAAAAAAATAAAATCTTTGATCAACATATAAAAGAAGGAGACTTCCATAAAACTAATTTTATGATGTATTACTTGATTTCCCATCCTGAAAGGCATGTGATCTAGTCTTAAGGTATATGCTTAGCAAAAGCAGTGCCTCTTGGTTTGTGTTTTCAGTCACAGGGGATACTAGACTGTAGGCAGAGGTCTAGGATATCCAAATGATGAAATTAGAAAAGACTTTCCAAAAGTAGTGCAGTTTTGAAGAAGACATTCATTTGTACCCTTGTAGCAGCTTGTCCTATGTGATCTATGTCACCAAGGGAGAATATTTACACGCTAACTTTCAGCATCTGGCTGAGATTCATGGAGGAGGGTGGTTCCCCTAGCAGTCAGATCAGGATGTCCTCCATGTAATTCTTGTGTGGGAGGCTATTATTCTATGATCTATATAGTAACCCTAAGGAGATTTCCTAAGGATATTTTAAAGTCCTTGTTTATGAGCTGGTCCCACTCCTATTCTGTATTTATAAATGGTCAGACCAGTGTAGCTGACAGCCTCTAAAGGGAATGGGGCAGAAGAGATGACAGCTCTTTGTTTCTGGCCCTCTACTCTGAGGGACATTTGACAGCAAGAGGTGGGATAAACTTCAGCCTAGTTGTTCTCAATTAATCTGCAGATCACGTCTTTTTGCTATGGGCGGCAGTAAAGCTGGAGACTTTGTGTTACAACCTCCCTGTGCTGACACACAGTGGAAAGCCTGTGGTGACAGCAATTATTCATTTCAGTAGCAAACAGGCTGCTTAAGAACAATAGCAAATACCCAGACTAGGGGGGAGAAGAGTATAAAGGCCAAGTTTGAACAGAAGGAGCGGTGTGAGAAGGATGGAGACATTTAAAATCTGTTTCCTGTGCAGGCAGCTGTGAAGAGCAATGTCCTGAAGGCTCAGCACCCCTGGTCCTGTTCCTGTCAGGGCTCCAGCACTGTCAGGAAATCATCTGTCTGTCTGTCCGCGCTCAAGCAACTGCTCAACTGACTCGATAATTACCCAGGCTGATGGCCAGGCTGTCTGGAAGCACGTTTTGAAAAGGGCTTCCAAAGGGGGATTTTCCAGAGTGCCATGAGAGCAGAGAGGACGGGTCCTAGGAGAGAGAGATGTTGTCTTACTCTGACTTTAGAGCTACAGTGTTTTTGCACTGGTTCCCCCAAAAGCAAATATTTGTCCAGAAGTGCTCACAGTCTAAAAAAAAGCAATATAAAGACAACAGGAATGAAGTGGTTATCCTATAGGAACTATATTTAAAAGAAATCAAAGGCTAATGCTGGACCCTTATTGTCCTGGGAAAAGGGAAGACATTATTGGGGCAGGAGGAATCAGGGGGACTGATAGCAAGAAACAGGGCTGAACAAAAAAGCAAAGAATTTGGAAGATGAGAAGAAAAGTCAAAAGCTGAGGTGTAGAAATGAAAAACACCCATAGTAAGCCTCACAGTAAAAATTATCTTTATTTAGGATATTCTTGTAAATCTTCATTCTACCAAGTTCAGTCTAAGCAAAATGTTTCAAAATATTTCTGCATTTTGGATTTACGCATAGTTAACTCACAGCTGCCAAATCATGTGGATTTTTCCACAAGAAGCAAAAACTCTTGAGCAAGGCCACAGAAATATTTAGTCACAGAAATTATGTGTTGTGGTGCCCTCTTCCCTGTTTTCCTTTTACTAGGAAGAGAAGAAATTTATGTTGTTATCAGGCTAGTCAAACTGATACTGTAAAAGTGAGATTTTTAGGCTCACACAAATGTTCCTATAACAAATGTTACATAATCTGTAAATGATCACAGCCAGTGGGTGACATAACATTTGCATTTGTTACACAATGGGTCTCCAGCTCATAATATCATATTCTGTAGGTGATAGCTACACTCTTCAATTCAAGGAGGTATTCAGCAAAGCACCAAAATTAGAATAAGGCAAGGTCTGTTACATCATCCATCCTCACACACACACACACACACAACCACCCCCACTTCTTCCCAAGAGCTTTGTCTGGTTTTAAATGGCTCAAGTAACTTGGACTCCTACCATGTCCCTTGAGAGGCTATCCAACAGCAAGGCAAACCTCAGCTTAAGTATTTTGTGCTGTTCTGTCTGAAAATAAGCAATGCATGCAACACAAGATCAGCAGCTGGAAACTAGACCAATGGTGATGCTGTCCTAAAATCAGAAAAATCTGAGGTCCTACATGATAGGAAAGGAAATGATGCTGACAAGGTTTATTGTAATACAGCGTAGGGATCGAGGAACAGGTCCTCAAAACATCAAAGAGGAATGAATGCTTAAGGTATATCTGTGTATTAAAAGCCAATCAATTGAATTAAAAACAAACATGTCAAGAAAAATAAAATGCATGTGGAAGGAAAGATTTTTCAGTTTGTGAAACAATGTGTTGTTTTTCAGTATCCAACGTGTGCTACAGAATTTGTATTTTAGGAATAGTTCTGGCACTTGTCTTTCAACATAAACTGATTTCTGAGAAATTCCTGCAGCAGAGAGGCTGGGACTCTCCATCTATTGGCATTAGAGACCAAATTCAAAATTTCTGCAGAAAAAGCCCTGCCTCATTTAGGAATTTGGCTGCAGCATGTCCAAGAAATCTGAAGTAGGACCTTAAACATGTGCAGACGTTTACTTTCACTTGTCTTGCTTTTTGAGATTGATAGACAGTCTTTTGTCTCAGCGTAGGGGAAAATGCACTTTTACTAATGCCAAGGATTAGTGTTGGGGAACCTAGGACAGGCACAGGTGGACGCTGACTGTAATAAGATTTTAAAGAACATCTGTTGCAGGAAAAGCTGTCTATGGTTATGATTTTCCAATGACAAGACATTCTTTAGAAAATAAACAATTCCATTATTTCAAAATAGAATAAAATTAATTTGCTCTTATATAGAAGTATTTGGCAACACTAGTCCAGTCGGTCTCCTTCTTAGACAAAAATTCATTTTGGAAATCACAAAACTAGTTGGCAGTATATGAGTTATTATATGTGTTTCTAAATTGGCTTATGTTTGTTTAAAATTGCCGACTTTAAACAAAACAAAAAAAATACTGCAAATCTAAGATCTTTTTTTGTAAAATAATTCCACGGTTTCTGGAATTCCAGATATAAAGTACACTTTAAAAAAAACTTGGCTCTTTTTAGTGATTCACATGTAGAGCTCAGCTTTTCAGCTTATCCAAATAAAGTGCTCTGTCTGTCAAAGCAATTTCAGGTGAAGCTTTAAGGGTAGCTTTTCAGGTGCCTCATGCCATGTTTAACAAAAGGACTGAAAGGGACTTACAGTTTATAATCACAGAATCGTGATCCTTTCTCTACAGGCATCAAGCACAACACAGTGTGCAGTTACTGGAGGGAGAAGTGTGGGGTTTTGGTCGTGTCTCTAACACAACAACTGTCAACCTCTGCAATAAGGAGACAGCTCTGACATTCAGCTCCTCATCTTTAGGGATGACTGTTCAGAAGCTGCTCAGTACAAAGGCTCACTGCTGTACACATATAAATATATCAGTGCCTGCTTACTTAGGCTAACATCTCAAAAAGCAAGCAAGAGAGCACTGCTTGGATATTCCCTCTATGCACACAGCAATGTTCCATAACAAAGAGGTGTCCCATCACATCACTTGAATAGAGTAGAGAGAGATGAATCCTCTTTAATTTACCATTTTCTTCAGAAATATCAAGTGATGTGGGCAAAAAGTTTACAATACAAAGAGGATACAATAAAAATTCATAGCGGTGGATGTGTAAGATTTGATTCTGAACTCTGAATGATGATTAGGCATGACTTAGCTGTTTGACATAGAAGTCTGGCAAATGAGTAGAACAGGATTTTTGGTCTAGACTGAGCAGAAATGTTATACAGTATGTTCAGACTGGGACACTCCACATGTTCAGAAACAAAAACCATCCTAGTGCACATCAATAGGTCAATTTCAGTTTATTTTTATACTCCTCCTCCCACGTGGAGCATTCCTGAGATGATGACTGCACCTGAGTGGGTGTCACAGATAGGGGAGGCTTAATTAAAACTTAATTAAAACTACTGCAAAAAAATCTGTGGTACTATAAAAAACTCCACTGCGCTGCACAACACACACATTCAGATCTTGTCAGCAGTGTCAGAAACTTGAAATCTTGTTCTGAAAAGTCACAGCTTCTCCTATACTAGAACAATAGGAAAGCATCCCATACATCTGCCAGCAGTATGGGATCTAAGGCAGACAGCTGAGTAGTGCTAGAAGATAAAAGTACCAGGCACTAGATAAGTTGCTGTGTGTTTGTTACAAAATAACTGTTTTGCTGTGGATGTTGGAATTTATATTTACAGAGCCTCAGTACGCTGATCTATCATGTCTTTGGAATAGTCATGATCTTCTGGAAGATCACCCTGTATGTCTCTAACTGATACCTGTTTTCTGCAACCAGTGTCTGCATCAAAAGTACCCAGCTGGACCTCTCCTTCTTCCAACTCTTCTGAGAGGCAAGCCCGTGCCTCAGAGAGCAGCTGGACAACCAACTCAGAGGACACCAGCAGCCCAAGCATTGCTCCCTCCTACACAGATCTGCAGTCAATTAATACTGAAGACTTGACCAGTGGTAGAACATCTGCAGCAGATTCAGCTGGTAAGAGGGAAGTGTTCAAGCTTCCACCTCTATCTTTTTAATGCTACTCAAACTCACTGCTCCGAATTTAGCCACAGAGAATGGATCCAAAGCAGAACAAACTCAAGGATTAAGTAGACTAACACTTTGTTCTGCTCCAATTCCCAAAAAATCACACTTGGATTTTACACACCATTGGTATGTGCAGGCTCCTGAAGTAAGAGCCAAATGCAGCTATGTACCTGTTGGTGGACTTGGAGCGTTTCTGATTTTCACGTATCATATCAGCTTAAACTGATCTAGGAGCTAGTTTTCAGTATATTGTGGGGGAAGCTGGATGCCCTTCCTGAACTTCCATGCAGACATTTTCTTAACGGTGTATTCAGGTGAGGCATGTCCAGCTCTTCATGCCCCTCTCTGTTTCAGTGAGTGCCAAGACACAGATCATTTACTGGATGCATTCTTTGTACTGTGCTTTGCACTGTTACTGTGCAGTAATGCAGAGAGAGTGTAGGAGATGGCAGAGGTTGGTTCAGTAGCAGATTTTGACTATTTAAGGTTCCTATTTCTGACCATGTAGTGCTCCATTCAGATGGGAAAATGTGCTACATGGCATTGCAGCTCATTGCTCCTCAGCTGTACTCTAGGTAATCTCTGAAGCAAGAGAAATAAAGCAGAGTGGTGCCACTCGTGTCATACAGAAAAGGGATGATGGGAACTTCTGAAGGACTAAGTTGAATTTCACAGCACTGAAAAAAAGCTGACATGTCAGGACATAAAAATGAAAAAAATATACACAGCTCCAGCAGGAAGCACCTGTAGTATGCTGGAAGCTGTTCAACCCAAGTTGAGGAAGGTTAGTAGCTACCCAGTTTGGTGATAAAAATTGATTCTTTGATGTCACCATAGCTCAGGCATGTGCCATATTTAATGTGTTTTCTCTCAGGTGGTGAATGTAACAATATATGTGAAATAAGACATGTTTTGGGAGAACGGACTTCCTAAGCCTTGCTGAGGTCATATGTCCCTTCCATAAGAAACATATACATACATCACCTGCAAGGAGTGTTATTTAATGGTTCATTGAAGCTGAGTAGGACATTAAGGCAGGTTTATTAACAGCAGCATAGTAGGTACTGGCTCACTGCTTAAGACAAAGGATTTGTGGAGAAGTAGTAATTACTTTGGGTAAGTACAGACATTTCTTTCTTCAAATAAGAGTTATCAGAAATTTGTCTGACCATTTGTATTTTAGAATATGCTTGTCTGTACCTCTGAGTTTGGAAACCACTGGTAGAAAGGTAAAATAGGCAAGCTGGCATGGTGTACCAACATGAGCATCAGTTCTGTTCTGATGAGCTCATGTCTATTAGGGTGAAGTGCAGTACTTTTCATCTGCAGTATGTGCTGGCTATTGCTGTCCTGTTGTTTGGTGTAGTTTGCCAAAGGATTGCTGTTGTCACTGGGGTGTCTCCATCAGAGCAAAGGGTATGAAGGATTCCCAGTCCATATATAGCTTTGCCTCATATAGAAAAGTCAAAGGCAAAAGTGCTGCTGTATATGCCTGGCATGCATATGGAATCATGTTCTATGTATGGCCAAAAGTGAAAGTAATACTTCAGTAAAAGCTTTGTGTGCAACCTTCTTACTTTCTTTCTCAGTCAGTCACAAATTGACATATTTATTAGGAAGAAAGGTACAAAAACTTGTTCCAGTCACCTATAAATTTTTAAAACTAAAAAAGTAGGTAATATAGGCAAGGCTATGTCATTAGTTAAAACGTAAGATACACTACCTTAGTTACCTTAGTGGTACTCGGACTTGAAGTATGAAATATATTGAGTCTTCCTACCACCAGGTGTGGAGTGTACAAAAGGGCAGCATGAATGAAGTGCATCTGTTTGTCCTGTTCCTGGGATGCCTCGGAGTCCAGCCCTGAGGTAGCTGCTGGCATCAGGAAGGTTCATGGAGGTGAGGGAGCTGAGGACCTAGTGGCCATGAAACTGTTGTACAGTTCTGGCTGCTTTTCTGTTGTTCACTCTACCCTCATCCCACCCTCACAGTGCACAAGTGGGCAAAAAAATGAATGATCACTTTCTTCTCTACTTCCTCTCCACCTCTCTCCAGAAGTTCAGTTCTTCAAACCCTACTTGATTCAAGCATTTGATTTTTATTTCTCTTCTCAAAGAACTGGCTGCCTCAGTCTGTAGTGGAGTTTGAAGGCTCCATCAAGGCAGTAAAATGGCATGTATTTTTAACATGAAGGAGAAGAGAGGAATCCTGATGCTCTATGTGATGATGAAGTCACATTGGCTGCTAGCCAGTATGTTGACTCCAAGGTCAAGCTTGATGGAGAGGAAAAAAAAGATCAGACTAATTTCACTGCTGAAGAACCCTATGAAAATAAGAAATCAGTGTTTGATCTACTTAGTGATGGTGAAAAATCAGGTCTATAAAGTAGCTTGGGTCTAATACTGTTTCAAGCAAGAAAAATCTAGTGATGAAAAACGCATGAAAAATTCTACTCAGCAGTCAGATGCTGACTAAAATATCTGTTTTAGCCATGGTGAATTTTATTGCCTGAACAGCATAAAAAACAATCCAAAATACTCTGTTCCATGATTTCACCACTTGTTTCGAATCTATCCTGCATGCAAAATGCTTACACATCAACTGCCTGTGACAGTTCAGGTCACAGGGTGTTGTGTGGGAGCAGATGAGAGCCTGAGATAGGTCCAACTGCAGGCACATGCAGAGATAGTTCACAGCAATGAGAATGCACATCTTGGTGTCTAGAACTGGTAGGCTACAAGCAGGTAAAATTGGCTGGGAATTAACTTCCTCAGAACTGGCACAAGATTTGACTGTAAAACCATCCCAGGGGCTTGAGCTTTGTGCATGTGTTTATGCAAGATATGGCCTAGGAAGATATCTGAGAAAGATGGAAGAGTCCTGAATGATCCAAAACTGAAAGTTTACCCTTGCAGGGACTGCAGAAAACCTCTCAACTTATGGAGTTGGGATAAGCACAATGTCCTGCAAAGGCAGCAGAGTTCATAGAGGTGAAGGTAAATTTTGCATGAGCAGAGCAGAAAAGGATTTGCTTTTCTATCAAAGAGCAGCTAGAAGATGCTGCACTTTATTGCCTATGCTAGTTTGAACTCTGCCACCAAGACGCCTTTGATATTATGCTCATTTTTGACACACGAAGGGCTACCTAGCCTGCAGCAGCTAGCCAATAAACGTGGGTCAAGTGATAGCAGACCATTAAACGTAGGCATGTTTACATGGTTATAACAGCAAGCACTTTGCAACATCTGGGGTTTCACAGTGTGTGAAGCTGTATTTGGTGCTGGTGAAGTGGCCCCTTTTGCCTCACCATGTCGCTCAGCTTGGATCAATGAGCATGAAAGGAAGGAGGAACTTTTGGCCTTTGTACTGTGCTCTGCAAGATAAGTAACACAGGACATCTCTGTTACTGATACAATACAACTGTTTGTTCCTTCTGTAGCAGATGCCTGTCTCAGCTTTCAAAAAAGGCCAAATATCTACGAGTCAGAGGAGCAAGGGGGAGGCTTTCTTGTAACTGTGATTATAGATCTGGAAGCACTGAGATCTGCTCTGAGGTTGTGCAGAACTACCTCACAGCTTGATTTGGATTTCTGCATTTCACCATTCTTCTCCAAAATAATTTTATTTATATAAAATAAATATTGACTTGTATATAAAATAAAAATAATTATATATAGTCAATATGTATATAATAAATATATATATTTACATAGCTCATAAACAGTTTATTATAAATTTAACAGAATATATGATAGAGTCTATATAATAAAACTATGTTTGTGTATGTCTGTGTATAGGCATAAGTTTCCTGGTAGCAATTTTAGGTGTGTTTTTGCTAGTTCTGTTGTTTCTGTTGTGATTTGTATCTTGGGAAAGTTGCAGCTACACCATGTTTGATGTTAGCCATTCATTTTGCTGACCAGTTTTTCTCTTTGGCATTCTCATGAACCTCTGGGACCGCTGGGATACTGAGGAAATCACTATGTTATTGTTTTCTGCAAACATCTGCATGTTTGGAGATAGCACGTTACATGTGTGACCCCTAACTGCTCAAAATCCAGAAAGTTAATAAATAGCACAAGGAATTAGTTCTGCAAATGTTGTTATTTTTAAAGTAAAATACATGTCTTAAGGTGGTTCTACTGCTTCGATTTTAAAACTTGGAGATGGCAATTCTGGCAAGCTCAGCTCCAGCTCTTTCTTCATGGTAATGGGGAGCAAGTAATAACTTTTCAAACAATTTTCTAATGCTTTTCTGCAGTAGTTCTCTCAGAAACATTTTTTCTGTAACTGTAGCCAACTAGATACTGAGTTCTGATATGATGATTGCAAGAATGGTATTCTGTGAGTTTCAAACAAGCAGCTTTGAACAGACTATATAGCTGTGCAATGTGGTTGCACTGAATGCCAGAAACAGGCTACAAGCTCTGAAGTTATTCCAAGGTAATTAACAGAGCAAGAGGAGAAATAGTGTATGGTGATGGTTACCACCTTCTATCCAGAGCTGCACCTCAGTTATGCTGTGTAACTATTAACCAGCTTGTTCTGGTGTCCCAGTTCCAGACACATGAAAAAACTTGTACATGAGAGCCTGCCAAAGCCAGCTGGAGAGACTGCAGAGGGGAACATCCAACCTTGCTTCAAGGAGGAGAGGACTCCAGAGTACCATATTTAATAGCAAATAGCACCTGAAATGTACTCTTGCACAACTCCAACCTGTAACGGCCAGCACCAGAGGCAGCTTTTTTATAGTTCTTCACATCTAATACCAGCTAGCAATTCAGGTGGTTTATTTCCTAGTTGTTGTCCCATATTTTTCTCAAGCATTTCTAGCCATTTTAAGAGTAGTGTATTGATAGGACAGAACTGAGAAGCTGGGCCTGGATAATTCATAGCACTAGAAATGCTGTGATTCCACGATGGACCTGTGTACTGGAAATCACCTCCTC